TATTTTCTTAAACTTATATTCTCTCACCTCCTCTGTCTCACCCTTACCACCTCAGCCTTCTACACCACTTTCCATCCACCACCTCCCTCTCTCCCTCCTTTCTGTAATTGGAAAACCAGAAAATAAAACGAAGTCCACTGCTGCCCTGACCTATTTATGTGTCTGACCTATTTTATGTGTGTGGGTAAACTTCTCTATTTTCCACCAGTGGTGGGTTGGGATCCCCTGGACTCTTTTATTTTCTTCATAAAATGACCTTGGCTCTCAGGTCACCAGCCTTAAGTGTAAGAAATTGAATTATTGTTGTCACACATAGAGAGGACAAGCAAGGGGCAGTAGGGGCTTAGCACATTGTTTTTGGACCACGGCCACATTCACATTTGAGAGAGGGTACACTCATTGTTCTTACAACCCCCCCACCCACCCCCACAACCGTGTCTTACCTTTCTTCTCTCACCCCTTCTCTTTCCTTTGATCTTCTGTCTATTCTCCTTTCTTCTCTCCATATTCTTCCTCTCTTCCTTTCCTTGCCCTCTCTCCTGTCCCATCTCTTCTTTGTCTCCTCTCCATCCTGTCTTTTTCATTTTTCTCTAGATTTCCTTACCCCTCCCCTCTCCTCATTCTTCCCCCCCCCCCCATCATTTTTTTTTTTACTGGTTCATGTGACGTATTTTTTGCCCCATAACTATCTTTTCCTATTGGTTGTGTCCACTCACTTGAAATTGTGGTGTGTGTGTGTGGGGGGGGGGAGTAGTTTGGCTGGTTTTTTTTTTTTTTTCTTTTTTTTTTTTTTCTTTGATGTATCTTGTCTCCCTTCCTGACCTCTCTCTTAATCTGTGTTTGTCACTGCCTTCCTTTACCCACCTCTCTTTCTCTCTTGCTTTATGTCTGTTTGCCCTCCCTTCATCCACTTCCTCTTTGTATACCTCCCTCCCATTCTCCTGCTCTGCCTTTTTTCTCTTTCTCTTTGGTTCTTCCCTCTGTCTTGCTTGCCTCTCTGTGCTGTCCCTTTGCTTCTCTCTCTCTCTCCTTTATGTCCTACATCTCTCTTTGCTTGCATCTGCCTTCTCACCCTGTCCGTTTCTCTCTCCCTCTGTCTCCCTTCTTTTAACTCTTTGTCATATTTTCCTCCTTCCATATCTCTATTTCGTTCCCCTTTTTCCTTCTCTTTTCATCTGCCCATCTCTGTATCTGCATTCCCTCTTTCTGTATTTTTTTCCCTCTCTGTCTTTCGCTGTTCCTTCCCCACTTTTCCTCATCATGTCTCCATCCCTCCCTCTCATTTTTTTCCTCCTTCCCCAGACTTCTTTTTCCTTCTTTTCTCTACCTTTATCTGTCCATCTTTACACTGTCTCTCCCAGCCCTACCTCAGCATGTACCTTCCTCTCTCTTCATGACCTCTCTCTCTCTCTCTCTCCCCTAACCCTCTCAGGTACCAGGTCCAGAACAGACAGGGGACTTCAGTTTGCTGCACTCTACCACCAAGCCCTAAAAAAAAATTTCAAACACTATATCAAGCTCAGGGGCCCGACCAGCACGAAGATGGGCACAGGATATAAGTGACCCTCCTTGAGTATAAAAAAGTACACATGAGACGGGGAGAGCTGTTTGGAGAGACCGAGGTTTTTTTGTCAGGACCAAGAAATGCTACATGATGATGATATCTGTGCTGGTATACCAACACATGTGGCACAAATGAAGTACCTTGTATGCTCAGTACACCCTTGAACAAGGCAAAAATCTTGTTTCAGTATTACACCGAGACCTTGAAAAAAACTAAGGAGACCTTGAAAAAGACCTTGAAAAGCCTTGAAATTGATTGGTAAATTTGGCTATGAACCCTGATGAGTCTTATTACAATAATCACACAAGTACATGAGTCTTATTACAATAATCATACAAGTACATGAGTCTTATTACAATAATCACACAAGTACATGAGTCTTATTACAATAATCACACAAGTACATGCGTCTTATTACAATAATCATACAAGTACCTGAGTCTTATTACAATAATCACACAAGTACATGAGTCTTATTACTATAATCATACAAGTAACTGCGTCTTATTACAATAATCACACAAGTACATGAGTCTTATTACAATAATCATACAAGTAACTGCGTCTTATTACAATAATCACACAAGTACCTGAGTCTTATTACAATAATCACACAAGTACATGAGTCTTATTACAATAATCATACAAGTAACTGCGTCTTATTACAATAATCACACAAGTACATGCGTCTTATTACAATAATCATACAAGTACCTGAGTCTTATTACAATAATCACACAAGTACCTGAGTCTTATTACAATAATCACACAAGTACCTGAGTCTTATTACAATAATCATACAAGTACCTGAGTCTTATTACAATAATCATACAAGTACCTGAGTCTTATTACAATAATCACACAAGTACATGCGTCTTATTACAATAATCATACAAGTACCTGCGTCTTATTACAATAATCACACAAGTACCTGAGTCTTATTACAATAATCATACAAGTACCTGAGTCTTATTACAATAATCATACAAGTAACTGCGTCTTATTACAATAATCATACAAGTACCTGAGTCTTATTACAATAATCATACAAGTACATGAGTCTTATTACAATAATCACACAAGTAACTGCGTCTTATTACAATAATCACACAAGTACCTGAGTCTTATTACAATAATCACACAAGTACCTGAGTCTTATTACAATAATCCTACAAGTACCTCAGTCTTATTACAATAATCACACAAGTACCTCAGTCTTATTACAATAATCACACAAGTAACTGCGTCTCATTACAATAATAACACAAGTAACTGCGTCTCATTACAATAATAACACAAGTAACTGCGTCTTATTACAGTAATCACACAAGTACCTCAGTCTTATTACAATAATCATACAAGTACCTGAGTCTTATTACAATAATCACACAAGTAACTGCGGTGGCGGTGGCGGAAGTCGCCGGAAGTGCGCAATTTAAGTCGCCGGAAGTCCGAAATTGACATGTTACTGAGGCCCTGTTAGGGAATATTTTCGGCCTCGATATTTTGGGACCGTTATTCAGAAGATATCCCATTATTGTTATTAATATTATTAGTTTGTGTGAAAATTAAACTATAAATAGGAGCATAAAGAGAATAATGTATAACAGTCTGTCGTGCCTGCCTCTCTTTCTGTTCTCTTTCTCACCATAGGTACATTTTACTTCCTCCATCGTTCGCCGTCTCCCATACTTTCCCATCCATTTTATATACCCCGCACCCAACCCCCTCATACACCCCTCCCCCACAACATGTACGCCCAACTTAACTGACCGTTTACAGTTTTCAGAAACCACATTTGTAAACCAGAGGGTGAAAGAAATCCCACCGACTCTAGGGAACCACTCAGATTGTGTTTTTCCATAAGTAAAAGTAGCCAGGTCAAAGTTTCTTGTATAGGTACTTCCGGTTTGCGGACTACTAATTAAGTGAGAACCGTGTTTTGGTAGTCAAAGCTAGCGACCGCACTTAACACTGATAGTATGGACTAAGTCGATACTTCATGCGAGATGAAAGTTCAGTCTTTGGGGAGTCTGATCTGCCAACAAGTTTTAGAGTGTCAATGCTACAAACAAGGGTCTTAGTTTTGTTTGAATTATAATACACTGCAGACTGTTTAAGGCATGCTCTGGTGTGGCGAATTTCTGTTGTGAAGAACAGTTTGTTTATTCCCGGTAATTTTGTTGTTGTTACTTGAGCTCTAATCTGGATAAGAGGAATTTATGATAAAAAGAACAATTTCTTGGGTCCCTGGTGAGTTCTCCTCGTCAGGTCTGCACTGTACACATTGTGTATATCTAAAAGATATTCGTTCTTGTCTCTCCATTTCTCTTCCTTCGCCTCTTCTTCTTCTTCTTCTTCTTCTTCTTCTTCTTCTTCTTCTTCTTCTTCTTCTTCTTCTTCTTCTTCTTCTTCTTCTTCTTCTTCTTCTTCTTCTTCTTCTTCTTCTTCTTCTTCTTCTTCTTCTTCTTCTTCTTCTTCTTCTTCTTCTTCTTCTTCTTCTTCTTCTTCTTCTTCTTCTTCTTCTTCTTCTTCTTCTTCTTCTTCTTCTTCTTCTTCTTCTTCTTCTTCTTCTTCTTCTTCTTCTTCTTCTTCTTCTTCTTCTTCTTTCTTCTTCTTCTTCTTCTTCTTCTTCTTCTTCTTCTTCTTCTTCTTCTTCTTCTTCTTCTTCTTCTTCTTCTTCTTCTTCTTCTTCTTCTTCTTCTTCTTCTTCTTCTTCTTCTTCTTCTTCTTCTTCTTCTTCTTCTTCTTCTTCTTCTTCTTCTTCTTCTTCTTCTTCTTCTTCTTCTTCTTCTTCTTCTTCTTCTTCTTCTTCTTCTTCTTCTTCTTCTTCTTCTTCTTCTTCTTCTTCTTCTTCTTCTTCTTCTTCTTCTTCTTCTTCTTCTTCTTCTTCTTCTTCTTCTTCTTCTTCTTCTTCTTCTTCTTCTTCTTCTTCTTCTTCTTCTTCTTCTTCTTCTTCTTCTTCTTCTTCTTCTTCTTCTTGCACTTCTTTTTCATCCGTTTTTTTTCTTCGTCATTTTTGTACTGTTTTTATTCCTCTTTCTTTTCTTTTGACTTCCTTATCTTCTAGTATGTGCCAGTGTCATTGATTGTCGTGCGTGTTTCATGTATTGTCAGTTACTCGAGGTTCTGGAAGGTATTTAAAACTGAGGGAAACACATACACGGACATTGCAGTCAGGCTGCATCTGGTACTGTTAGCACGTCCACTCACTCCTTATTTGCTGCTGGAGAAGGAGACGGATCCGGGTGCTAATGTCCTGAGTGCAGTGATGTGAATTCTTGATTAATGTATTCATTCTCTTTCTTTCTTCGTCTCTCCACCCCCCCCCCCTTCCCACCCCCTTTTCCACACCTGAACCCAGAGATTTCCTTTATAATGTACACAAGAATATATTGTCGCCCAGTTACATTCTGTGCCTCATCTGTTGTTGCAGGTGCGGAGATAACTTCATGGGAGAGTACTGTGAGGAGGACAACCCTTGTAGAAACGACTTCTGCATGAACGACGCCAAGTGTGAGGTTCGGATCAACGACAACGGGGAAGCCAAGGCGGAGTGTATTTGTCCAATAGGTAAGCGTAATTTCAGGTGATGGCAATGGTTGGTTGTGGTACTCAGGAGGATCCGTCAAAGACCACTGCACGGAGTTTGTGTGTTGTTTTGATCAGAATCTCGGGTTGTTTGGTGTGTGTAGCAGTTCGTAAATCAAGCAAGGTACCTATGTTTCATTCATTGTGGTCCCTACTCGTCTAGTTCCTAGAGTTTGACTACTTCATTTCAAGAGTATGGTAGTGAGTTTTTGAAAGAGAATTTCGTCCCTTCTCTTCGACTAGTTCTGTGCAAGAGTCTAGTACCTACACTTTCACTAGTTCAGTTTAAGAGTCTGGTTTAAATTATTCAGTTAAAGAGTCTGGACTAGTAGAGTCTGAGATCTGTCTTTATCCTTTATAGACAAGTCCAGGCGGAGAGTCCAGTCCCTACCTTTGGACTACTTCAGTCTGAGAGTCTGGCCCCTATCTTTGGACTCTCGTCTGAGAGTCTGGTCCCTATCTTTGGACTACTCCAGTCTGAGAGTCTGGTCCCTACCTTTGGACTACTTCAGTCTGAGAGTCTGGTCCCTATCTTTGGACTACTTCAGTCTGAGAGTCTGGTCCCTACCTTTGGACTCTCGTCTGAGAGTCTGGTCCCGGTTTCGAATTTAACCTCTGGTGCACGGCTGGCTAGTTTTATTGGGCAGAGTCTGGTCCCTACACTTTGCCTAGTCCAATTTAAAAGAGTGTTTTCGTTGTTGGTCGTGTGAAAAACTTCACATTTTAACCCGATTTGGTCTTTCTAGTCACACTCGATATCGCCATGGGCCGTGACTTTCATATAGGGTGACATTTCACTGCGACAGTATCGTTTTTTTTTAAGGTAGGATTCAGATCACCCATCGATACCAAAAGAATTGACGTTTCTCTTTCTTTCTGGAACGGTGTAAAGGCGTCAGGTTCCGTAACTCATTCACCAGTCAGATCTCTCTCTCTCTCTCTCTCTCTCTCTCTCTCTCTCTCTCTCCTCTCTCTCTCCCCTCCCACCAAGCAATTCTCATTCTGGCTGCAGTGTTTGTGTTTGTACGTGTTGAGACCAGTGACAGGGTCTGTCTGTGAAATAAATGCTTGTTGCATGGCTTGAAATCGACATTGAACATTCCTTCTTGGCTCATATTTCCCTTGCAGCTAAAATCTGAATCCACAACCCAACACACACACACACACACACACACACACACGCGCGCGCGCGCGCGCACACACACAAACACACACACAGCACAGTTTTGGCACGTTTGTGTAACCTGGCAGAGACGTTAGTTTCTCGCTCCCCCTTCCACCTTACACCATCCATAATGTAAATTTCATATGACAGTATTTCACAGCCCTCACCAGCAATGTCCCTGACAATGGCTCTCATTGTTGGATTTGTTTGGGAAGTGGCCAGATTTCTGCACAATGTGTGAAACATTCCATTTTTGTGTTGGCTGGGGCATAAAACAAGGAGTGTTAATTCTTGCTCGCTGTTTTAACTCATTTTGTTAAATAAACAGACTTGTTTAAAAAAAACTTTCGATTTCTGGTTACAGGTTGTGATTTTAAAATGTGTGTCTGGTTGCTGGGGAGGAAAACAGTTTTGATAGTGAATTCATAGACCATTTAGTCTTTGTTGGGTCTCTAAAGCTATAAGGCAGCATTTTACAAAATGAAGAATATTTTATGCAATCTTTCTGTGTCGGTTGGACGAAAAAGAGAATTCTTCAAAGCTATATCCTATCTTGATATTCGGAAGTGAATCTTGGAGAGTTGGTAAAATAGTGAAAACTAATTTGGAAGCAGCGGAGATGTGGTTTTATAGACGAATGATGAGAATACCCTGGACAGATAAAAAGAGTAATGCAGACGTTCTTGAAAAACTGATTACCCACATCAGAAAGAGTCAATCTACGTTCTGTGTTTATGTGGTGAGAAGGAAACAACTGGACAGTAGGAAAATTGGAAGGGAGAAGACGCAGAAGAAGACCGAGAGAAAAGACGCTGTACAGTCTGACATTACGGCATGGAAGATCATCTGTGTCAGAGTTGATTAAAAGGAGACAAGACAGAGGGTTGTATATAGATAAGACTACCAACACCAAACGTTTCAGAGCGTCCCCCCTACCCCGGCTATATTCGGTGGCCCCAACATAACCTAACGATTGAACGGGGTTTCTTGGACTTGTACTGAAATGATTCTCATCCGAATGGTGGCACTTTGTGTCACCGGGTGTTTATCGCTGGCCGTGCGTGTCCTGGTAGGGTTGAAGGTCACTCACTCGACGATGAATTGACTTTATTTGTTGCAGGTTTCAAAGGCATCATCTGTGACATCATCGATGAGAGAAGCGCCTGCTACAGAAACCCGTGTCACAACGGCGGGAAATGCGTCATGGGTCAGTCGCTGAACCAGTTTACGTGTCGCTGCCTCATTGGTTACAGAGGTGAGGGCCCGCCTAGTTTCTTCTTCTTCTTCTGCAAGTAGATGCCTCTTGGCGTTGGTAGTTATGTGTGTCCGCAACGTTTTGTCCTTATGTATTTTCTTTCAGCACTGACAAAGATGGTCTTTCATGCCATGATATTAAACTGTCCAGCATATTCTCGATTGGTCTCCCCCTGACTCTCTTCCCACAGTCACGGCTTATCGCATTTTCTCCTTCTTATGACATGATCCAAAGAATTAGATTAAAAGTACAAGTAACGTTGATCTCTCCACGTGCCACCCATATACACACTAGCTTACTTTTGATTGGTAGTTCCTGAACCTGTCACAAGGTTACGGTGGTGTTCGGCAATGCCGTTGATATCGGATGTTGTATATTTAAGCACGCCAGCGCTTTTAACACTCCAAAAACATGGACAAACTGGTCCTAACACAATTACCCTAGGGCTTTGAGAGTGCTTCAACCTGTGTCACAGGCATTCTCATTCGTGGAATGAAAACGTAAATTTAAGACATCACAGAAAGCAAACAACAGAGCGGGACACACCGGTAACCTCCCGGAAAGTCGACCGGACCAACAAACTTGTGAATGGAAAGTGACCTACTCTATTTGGGGAGACTAACGTTAACCTAACCAGATTGTCTCCTTCTGCAGTTCTTTTCGTCAGTCAGTTTCGTTCGAGATATCTTTATTACTGGTTTTCTTGTGACCAGAATGTTTCCATCATTCGTCTATAAAACCGCATCTCCTCAGCTTCCACATGTTTTCCTGAATCGTCCATCATTCAAAATCGTTTATCAGGATATGATTTATATGGCTATATGCTACATAGCTATGTATTATGCACCTACATTTTATATACCTATATATTATCTGCCTACATATTATATACCGGTATATTATTAGTTAGTTTAGCTTAAAACAAGACCCTGTTCCACGCCTATAGGTATATTGGGCATATAGGGCTAGACCTATATTTTATAGATCAATCGGTACTCGGCGGGGCATGCAGTCAAAATCACACCAGCTGACTTTACTTCCCAGGACGTTACCTGATACCCATTTCAGGCTTCTTCGATCTGGTAACCAAGGTCTTCTTTTTTTTTTTTTTTTTAATGTTCGACTTTGTTCGGATTTGAACCCACGACCATCGGATTTCGCAACGAGCTTCTTGCTGCAACACCACGGCGACTCCTAGTTTACCTTAAGCCTCTGTTCAGGCAACATGACCAACTGAGGCTTAATCGCAGCCAGTCTCTGTCATCTGGGGGCTTAGGCCCCACGAAGCCCTAACCCTCTTCAGAAAAGTTGAGATAGGGCGGGAACCGAAGTACCGGACGTAACTGTTCGTTGACCTGACTCAGCTTTAATGAATGCCCATTTGCAGGTGTGACCTGCGACCAGGAGGATCACTGCGCTTCCATGCCCTGCAGAAACGGCGGCACCTGCACCCCCAGCGTCAGTGGGTTCGAGTGTGCCTGTCTGGCCGGCTACAGGGGCGTCACATGTATGGAGGACGTGGACGAGTGCGTTGAGGATCCGAGGATATGTAAGAATGGAGGCACCTGCAGGAATAAATATGGCAGTTACGAGTAAGTAAATACAGCTGCTTCGTTCTTGTTCTTTTTGTTCTTTTTCTTCTTTTTCTTCTTCTTCTTCTTCTTTTTCTTCTTCTTCTTCTTCTTCTTCTTCTTCTTCTTCTTCTTCTTCTTCTTCTTCTTCTTCTTCTTCTTCTTCTTCTTCTTCTTCTTCTTCTTCTTCTTCTTCTTCTTTCTTTTTCTTCTTCTTCTTCTTCTTCTTCTTCTTCTTCTTCTTCTTCTTCTTCTCTTCTTCTTCTTCTTCTTTTTCTTCTTTTTCTTTCTTTTTCTTCTTCTTCTTCTTTTTCTTCTTCTTCTTCTTCTTCTTCTTCTTCTTCTTCTTCTTCTTCTTCTTCTTCTTCTTCTTCTTCTTCTTCTTCTTCCTTCTTCTTCCTTCTTCTTCCTTCTTCTTTCTTCTTCTTCTTTCTTCTTCTTCTTCTTCTTCTTCTTCTTCTTCTTCTTCTTCTTCTTCTTTCTTCTTCTTCTTCTTCTTCTTCTTCTTCTTTCTTCTTCTTTCTTCTTCTTTCTTTTTTTCTTCTTCTTCTTCTTCTTCTTCTTCTTCTTCTTCTTCTTCTTCTTCTTCTTCTTCTTCTTCTTCTTCTTCTTCTTCTTCTTCTTCTTCTTCTTCTTCTTCTTCTTCTCTGTAATAGGTCCTCTCTGCATTTCTTACCCTCTGTTTGCATTGTTTTCATGGGTTAGTTATTTTGTGTCATCTCTCTCTCTCTCTCTCTCTCTCTCTCTCTCTCTCTCTCTCTCTCTCTCTCTCTCTCTCTCTCTCTCTCTGTGTGTGTGTGTCTCTGTCTCTCTGTTTGTGTCTGTGTGGGTCCGACCCTTTTTGTGGGTCGAACGACCCTTTCACAAGGGTTGCCTAAGACCATACGAAAACATATTGATTTATCTGAGGCTGGGTCAACCTGGGAGCCAAGGTTATTTCTGAAAACTAGACCGGCTCAGCCTGGACCCGAACCCACGACCTTTAGACCCGCAGGCGAGCCTCTAGCCGCTAGACCATGTGACTGTCTAACAATAATACAATATTATTAACATAGTAAAACAATAATAAAACATAATAACACTAATATTAATAATAAAAATGATGATGAAATTGATAATGATGATGATGATACAAGATTTAGACGATCAAATTGAATAGATCGACTTCATTGCACTGGCTTTTATCCCATAAGGCATGTATCCCCTAGATCCAGCGACCACCCTCAGTGATCTGCGTTAAAAAAAAATGTCAATAATGAACGCAGGCTGTGAAATGAACTCACGACCTCAAGAGCGCCAGATGAGAGGCTAAACCACCCAGACAAAGAGAGGCCTCATGTGCAAGAATATTAATAATATTGATAAATAATGTGGCAGGTTCTTCGCAGAACGTCGCTCTCATCACAGTCTGCTTGAAAGAGAAACTGTCTCTCGCCAGCTTTCCCGCCTCGTGCACTTTCGTAATCAAGGGTTGGTCGGTCCCTGCCTCTCCTTCCTGGCACAACGCCCTCTGCTATTACAGACCGTTATGGCGCTTTATATGACCAAAATAATTCAGCTTCTAAAACAAGATGTTCTTTGTTAGCCAATCTGCATTGATGTTCATATCTTATCAATAATAATATTGATAACAATAATAATAATAACAATAATAATGATATCAACAACAACAACAATAATAATAATAATAATAATAATAATAATAATAGGCTCTCATGTTGACAGCTTAAAATAGAAACCAGGTAAAGTTGTTGCAAGTAAAGGCGACCGGCATGACATTAACCACATCACCCTCTGGGCGCCGACTGGTTTATTAAATATAGGTCTAGCCCTATGCGCCCAGTTTGCAAGAAGGTTCTAAAGTCGTTGAAACGGGTGCTTTACTCTACTTTTACTAAACACCCATTTAATGGCGAGCTCCAGCTAGGTAAGAGGTCCCCCAGAACAAGCGCTACAAGGGCTCTTTGAAAACTGCTGTCAGCTCTTGTGACAGCAGCACAGCAGCATGGAAGGCTGCTGCACAAGACCGTTGTGAATGGCGTAGATCACTCAGGCCTGATGCATCGGCCTGCCAGGCAGCGGAGCTTGCACATGCAGAGAAACGGAGGCAGGCTAGAAAGAACACTCGCTAATCCCACACTTACTGCGGCTTCCACCTGTTGTCCGCACTGCTCAAGAACTTCCCGGGCTCATATTGGACAAATCAGCCACGTTCGTACTCTTGTAATCATTGATCGTTACTACTTTGGCTGAAAAGTGGTAATCGTCACTCGTGATGGACAAACGACAACAACACTAGACACTAAATATGTCTAAGGGGTGTTGTTGAACCGTTAGTGTCTTTCTCACCTTGCCGACATTCGCCCACAGGTGTGTATGTACACAAGAGTTCACTGGTCGCTACTGCACTGACAACTACATCCCCTGCAGACCGTCTCCTTGCCAGAACGGCGGCACATGCAGCAAGACTGGGCCCTACAGCTATGAGTGCAACTGTCCCTCAGGTTAGTATTTTATTCGTTTTCCCCCCGTCTTCTTCTTCTCCCCCCCCCCTCTCCCGTATGCTTCTTTACTCTCCCTTTCATTGTTGGTGTTGTTATTGTTGTTGTTGTTGTTCTTCTTCTTATTATTATTATTATTTTTATTCTTCTCCTTTTTCTTCTAATTTGTTTCTTTCCTCCTTCTCGTCCTCTTATCAAGCCTTTGTGTTATTTTGTTGTTCTTGTTCCTAATGTGTTGGTTGCAATGATGTGTCATTCTCACAGGTGAGCTGTGATATTTGCTTGCGGACCAGCGCTGCCTTCCTAACTCCATACCTAGTCTGAAACTACATTTGTTAACGATCTTCTGGCACCATTACTCATGACATTGGTTTTCTCTTACTCACAGACTTTTCTTTCCTTTCACCAGAAACGCATGGAGAGCTTTTCTGGTGTGACTCATGCTCTAGATATATCACATTCGTGCAGGCATATGCACACACATATAGAACAGGCTCGCGCACATGATCATACACACGTGCACATGCTCTCTCACACACATACACATGGACACATTTGTTGATATGAAATCTTGCAATAAACCCGTATGGCAGTAAATCGTGGAATGTGAACGAATACGCTTAAAAGAGCTTGGATGTAGTGTGGATGTGGAAAGACAAATGTTGCATATATCCTGGACTGGTAAAGAATAGATCGCTGGGTAATAAACAAATGGGCATATATTGCTTCGCATGAGAAGAAACAAAAAGAAGAAGAAAAGGGGAGGAGGAAAACAAAGAGGAGGCAAAGAAGGAGAATTGGGCGATAAAGAAATGAAAAAGAACTAGTAGAAGAAAGAGTAGAAGAAAAAGAAGAAGAAAAAAGAACAAGAAGAAAAAGAAGATGAAAAGTGCGATAAAGGTGCAACATAAAGGGCGAGAAGAAGAATATCGACAGAGCTCAAGATGGTGGCGGAGATAACGGACGTTATGTTCCTGCTTCCAAAAGCAAATCATCCCCCCCCCCTTTTTTTTTTCCCATTTTTTAAAGTAAAAAAATCAACCCCACGGCATACACCTTTATTTGTGGTAAATCTGCCCCGCATCAATCAGCAAGACGTCGCTCTCCTCACGGCACACCTGAAAGTCCAGTTCTTCAGCACTTTGTGCTTTCACACATCTCTAGTGTCTGGTATCCACCTTCGTGGACGTCTGCCTCTGCATGGTTTTCCGGAAATTATGCCCTCCATGGCCATTTTGGCCTGTCCACCCTGAGGTTTAACATCGCCAGAGTAACCCAGCTTTCAGGCTAGATGCTGTTTATAAGCCAATTCTCCTCGATGTTCAGATCGTGTAAGATGTCTGTGTTTTACTTCTTTTTGCCCCATGGTATTCTATGCGTTTTCAGCTCCAATATGTTTTCCCCAGTGAAATAGCAAGATTCCTTGACTCATGTTTATAATCTGCCACAAGAAAGAGACATGATCTCAGAATGTTTACTTTAACTCGCATGCAGGCGTTATACCATAGGTTCGCCCGGCTCGCTAGCGTAGTTGGCTAAACCGGACTGCGCGGTGACCGGGTGACGAACTCCTTGTGGTCCGGGTTTACGCCCGGGGGTAGGCAGAAAAGCCACATTTCTCCCAGGTTTACGGTACCTATAATGGAATCAAGGCCGAAGGGTTGCGATATAGTACCGAGCCTAAGGGTTAACAACTCATGGCTTCTCGATACTAAAAAAAACAAAAGATGCCATAGGTTCCTCATGCTGTTTTTTAGTCTCTATATTGCAAATCTTGTTCCGAATTGTTATTTTCCGTGTGTGCAGTCGCAATTGTTGTTCACTGTTGAGTCTAAATATTCAACACCTATCACATTTTCATTATCGTCTTGTGCTCCGTAGCCTTAGTTTAATTTCTCTGGTTTGAAACAATAAGAAACCTACACGATTGGATGAACTTAAAATCAATAGTGCCTGCACAATCGGGCTGCTGTTTCAGTTAACCGATTTCATCTTTAAAGGGCAACGGACATCTCGTATTGAAATGTTCCACCAGCGGAATTGATACAAATGATGGAATAATTGATAACGGTTAAGTGCCGGGTGTTGTAACCCTTCAGGCTTCATAACCCCATCAACATGTTAGAAGCTAATTTGTCTGTAGCTTGCTGGGAGATATTTTTTTCTCTTGTGTTTTCTAGCCGGTGTTTCTTGGGACAGCCGTAATTTTTCTCTCAGAAGTGTCATCAGTTTTTAGCAACCGATGGCATATTTGTCAGCTTATAGATTGTGAACTCAGATTCAGAACTCCTACATACCAGCGTTCGGCTTTAGCTACAGGTGATTTGGTAGTAGATCTCTTTACTTTGATGTTGACAACGGTATAAGCGTCATACTGCTCAGACAGTAATAGCAAATAAAGGTAGAGTGCACATGTCCTAGTTTTTCGGCTCTGTTACTATATGTAGTTTGCCATTGGTTTCTGGAGAGAACGACCCCGTGTGCATTTTTTAAACGGGTGTGGGGAGGAGAGGGGGTAGACCCTTTGTTCATTGACAGTCATGCGTTAACAGGTGACTAATTGGATGCTTTGACACGAATGGCGCAGATATTGCAGCCTAGCTGTAAACTACTACATAATCTACCAACAACTTTTTTAACGGCGAACACAGAGGGAGGGGTAGGAGGAGGAAGAGAAGAAAAAGAAGAAGAAGAACACCAACAACAACAAATAAACAACTTGCTCAAGACAAACATTGATAAGAAAGTGCACGTAAAAATGACTTGTTCTGACTACTACCAGCAGGCTGGAGTACTTTCCCCTGCGGAAGTGATGTTTCGAAGTCATTTGGTTCTGAAAGCACTGTCTTTAACAAATACTGCATGAGACAAGTGTTCGGTTGGCTTTCTTAGTCCCCATATATACCACAGTTTATCGTCTGGGCACTTTTCTGGATAGTGGGCCTTATCTCCTCGGTTTGTCTGCTAGCATTCTTTGCTTTTTCTCATAATAGCTTTTCCTGTCCCTGATTGTCTCATCTCCGTTTCTGTGTGACCTAATCATTTTTAAAAAAAAAATCAGATTCTGTTGTTTTTTTTCGTCGATAAAGAATCGGTCACACTCTCTTGATCTATCTTTTCCTTGCCTTCTGTTGGACTTTGCAGTCTACACATTTCTGATAATAAAGAATTACTTTCTAATTATATTTTGATCTGTTTCGTGTCCGTCATGTTATTCGTTCATCTCTCACACGTCTTTTTCCTTCCTTCATCTGTAATTAAGCAATCACCTTCTGAATGAAATATCTTTAAACTCCAGTCTTCCGAAAATTGTTCAGATCCAAAAAACAAATATTCCTTCTGCCTGCATTGTTTCATGAGACAGTGTTAATCCTCTCCACAAACATTCATCTATCTATGTCTTCTGTGTGCCTCGTTCAACCCTTTCGCGTCGCTGAGTTGATTGCTTGTCTTTTTTCTTGTTTGCCGATGTTCCCGCCTCCTTTTGTGCCGATTGCTTGTTCCAATAACGGTCATCTGCCGGACATTTGACAGTGTCTTCCTCTGCCAGAGCGGAGAAGTTGAGTTATTGTTTGTGTTTGCAAATTAAGTTTTCTCCTTTAAGTTATTGGTGTTTTATTTTTCCGGAAAAAAAGAGGGGGTGGGGGGGGGGGGGGGGGGTATGTCGAAGTATGCAGGGGCAAATGAGTGCAAGAGGGATTCATAATAAACAAACATGAAGTATTTTGGTTGGCACTTTCAGATGAAAGGAATGGATAGAGATAGTATGACAGAAGAGGACATCGTTAAGATTATGGGGGGTTTGGAATTTTAAATAAGTCTGTTGTTTGTTTTCCTATTCAGAGAACTAATATTGTGTTCAAATGTGTTGTGTTAAAACTATATGTTGTTTATAAATTGGTTCCAGTTAGAAACTCTGTAATGACTAGCGTATTTACCTATCGTCTGCTCTGTGGCTAAGTCGATGCGAACGCTTCCTACTGCCAGGATGCCGGGTTCGATCCCAGTTGCGGGCCATTCACCTTGCATTGGTTTCGACAGTGGTATCAGGGAACCGACCGTCCAAGAGCAATGGCAAACTACTGGGCGTAAATTTGAATAGAAAAACCACACAACAACCAGGGGCTGGTTCTGCAACGTCCTGTAAAGGATACGCAACTAACCTTTCTTTTCATTTACTTGTCAATACTGAGATCCTGGATTTAGGGAGAAGTGTTTTCTCGAAAAGTACTGATTTTTACTGTCGTTGATTGGTTGGTTGACTTTTTTTTTAATTGGTTTGTTCGTTCGTTGATAATCGGTTGGTTGATTGTTCCATTTTTAAATTGATTGGTTCGTTGGTTTGGTAAATGTTTGTTGGTCGAAAAAAAATTTGTAATTGGTTGGTTCTTTCGTTTGATAATTGGCTTGTTGGTTGCTTGGTTGGTTGGTTGATTGACTCATTAGTTTAATGATTGATTGGTTGGTTGATTGACTCATTTGTTTGGTGATTGGTTGGTTGGTTGATTGACTCATTTGTTTAGTTATTGGTTGGTTGGTTGGTTTTGAATTTTCTGAAAGAGAGAAATGGTGAACTCCTGATTCTGATACATTGGGATTCGGGTTCTCAACGACACGAAAAGGACTTGCGCCTGTCTGGATTTGTTTGGTATATAGACTTTAGACACTTTAGTTCGTTATAGGCCAGCTCTTGTGACTAAGCTGACTTATTTACTTCCCGTAAGTAAAGTAAAACTCCAGTTTATAAACTTTGATTTAGTCTGCTTTTTTATAGCTGTATGTTTCTCTGAGCGGGACATTGCGGTTGCCCACCCCTCCCCTCTATTTTTCTCCCTCCCTCTCTCTCTCCCTCTCTCTCTCTCTCTCTCTCTCTCTCTCTCTCTCTCTCTCTCTCTCTCTCTCTCTCTCTCTCTCTCTCTCTCTCTCCATGTCAGTAATTTCGTTGTTAAAACTCAGACGTGTTATACGTTGTTTCTTGTCATCAGTTATTGAACTCAAAACCT